GGTAACCAAAACCAAATATATATACTTTTTACTTTGGTAATATAAAAGTCTGTCACTTTTGATCAATGAAATGCATCCCTGCTGAATAAAAGTGTTAATTTCTTAAAAATCTTTCTTACACCAAAATGTTGAATGGCAGCGTCATTATTTACTCACCTTAATGTCATTCCAAACCCATATTTTGCAGTTATTGCCTGTGGAAAACAAAAAGATAAATTCTGAAGAATTTAGTTTTTTCAGCTCTTACAACAATATTTATAGTGACTATGTGTGTCAAACACTAAAATGGTCTAAAAACACCATAAATACAGAATAGAAGTAGTCTGTATACACTATATTCCAAGTTTTCTGAAACTGAAGGATAACAAAAAAAGCTCGTGTCATTGTTCATGTCCGTGTTAAAATCCGAAATGTCAGACAAAGCGTCAAAAAAATTCTCCTATGGGCTTGGAAATGCATATTCTTGGGTGAACTAATCATTTAATACATTAGAATGTGAATATGAACTGAATGATGTGTGTATTTCGCACACGTGTGTGTAGGTCTGGGAAAAGGGCTCTGACTGCATCACAGTACACGCCATTCGAGTTCTCACTGCCATAATGAGCAACTCGCCCTCTGCCAAGGTATGACATGTCATCGACTCGTGTCTTACACCTCCTCTCCTCTCCTTCCTTCTGTATGTTTCTCCTAAAGTCTCTGAAAGATCAGCTTGCAGATGTCTCTCGTCTTATCAGCGTGATAAGTCAAAGTGCTTGCGTATGATAAATGTGCCCCTTATGCGTGTGTGGTTAATCTTATCAGCACATTTGATGTGGTTCTGCAGAACCAGGTCACCCGTGGTGACATTACGACATGCGCTTCCTCCTTTATTTTATTTGTCAGGTCCAAAAGTATCATAATCCCATATCGTGTTTTTTTGTTTATTATTAGTGTATTTAGGTTTCTTTGTTTGTACCAAAATGCAATGTCATGATATAGATTTCATGACATTGTTGAGGTTTTCTCTTTTACTTCTACTTCTTTATGTAAATGTCCTTGTTTTTATTGGCTAACCTCTTTGCTGTTGGGTCAAATATAGTTTGTGCCGCCCTGTTCTTCAATAACACCCTCTTTGCAAAGTAAACATTATACTGTGGCACAGATATGAAGATTTATGGTTATGTTTTCTCTGTTTTTGCAGGGCAGTTTCAATAAATAATCTGGGTGGCCTTGCATTGTGAAAGCTATTTACATAGTAGACTTTCTAATTTAAAGTAAAATCCTGTATTTCATGATTAGGGTTAGGGTTATCCCCTTTAATATCCTGAATTCATGTGAAAACGTTTCTGCTTTGTATAATACCTTTTGTTTTGTTCTTTTGGTTTATTTCGGGGAACAGGGTGGTAAAAACACTCGTTGTATTGTGTGCTTGTTCAATTGTAATGTAACTGTGGTTTGTCTTCCCAGGAGGTCTTCAAGGAGCGGATTGGCTACTCACAGTTGTTTGATGTGTTGAAAAGTCAAGGACAGCCCACCAAAAGACTCCTGCAGGAGCTGATGAACATGGTGAGTGAGAAGAAACTGTGAGTGTAACTACTATCACAGATGGTGTGACCTACATTTCCTTCCTTTTTTACATTTAGTCAGAAATGTGTACTCAGTATTTAGTTTTTTACCCATAAAGTAATAAATAGTACTTTGTAACCATATCATTAAAATGACACACTTTCACGTGAATCTCCAATCAGTAGCCTATTAAAAGTGGGTTCATTTTACATGGAGAGGGTCGCTTCATGGTGGCGGACATTTCTAAAGTTGAAGTACCAAAATTACTAAAACTGAAAATAACGAAAACAAAACTTTTTCAGGAACATTAAACAATAAATGGCATTTTGACGCTCTTTGATATGGTGTGACCGATCGCTGTATAAACGCCTCAGTTCAAACGGCAATCGCGATCATCGCTTCCTCTTTACTACTAGTTTTAACATGAAATAAACATGAATGAACATCTCATGTAATCGCTCAATCAGTGTTTCAACCACAGAAAGCATCAATTAACAAAATGTCACGTAGCATTTCATTTACCTCAGGCAAGTCATCTGGGTCCACAACTTGTTTGTTTGCTGGATAAATGAAATCTAGTGAAGAGCATTTCGTGAAATATTAGACTATATACTCATTATATTTTACTTAAATGAATATAAATGAATATATTTCAACAGCAAATAGAATTTTTTTAATTTAGAAGTTAATTTAAAAACAGAGTTATGTGCAATTTACATGTCTGCATCAAAGTTTTTAAGCTGAGTGTTGAATATGATATTTAAAAATAAATAATAATTAAATTTAAGTTTGGGCTCTGTTGTTTATTATAACCTGATAGTAATGTAAAGGGGCTCCCTATAGTTTAGAGCATAAGCTAAGGTAGATATTTATCCCTAAGGATCCCTACATTTATTTAAAGAAAGAGGATTTTTTTTAGATCACTGTTTAATAAAAAAAAAGCAATTTTATGTTTAGTTTTTTCCCCCTGCTGTACTGAAACCATAACAAACCGTGACGTCAGAACCAAGGTACGTACCGAAACGCCATGTTTGTGTACCGTTACACCCCTAATAATAATAATAAAACTGACAAAAACACAACAAGATTTATTAAACTTAAAAAAGAAAATATATATATAAAACTAATTTAAAATATTATGAAATAATTTAAAATATAAAATATAAGAGAAAATGTAGTTAGTTAGTTGCCAGGCCAACTTTTTAATCTAATTAATTGAAGTTGATATACTAAAATGACTAAAACTAAAACTGAAAATAACTAAAAACTAAAATAAATAAATAAATAAATAGACCTATTTAAAAAACTACAAGAAAAATACACCACAAAATTACTCAAATAAGATAACCAAATTAAGATTAAAATGAAAATGTAAAATATAAAAATAAAAATGAATTTGAAATTAATAAATACTATAATACTGTATTAATAGTACTAAAATAACACTGAATTTCATACTACACACATGCATGCTTATAAAACATACTTATTAATGGTCAACAAGTAAGTTCTTCGTCAAATGCGGTAAGTTTTTCAGGATAATGACTGAGAATCGCCATGCTTAAAATGTGTATTCTCATAGCATCACTTTTTGCTTTGTCCATCCCCTGGTTCCTTGTTGTTTCTCTCAGGCTGTTGAAGGAGAACATTCCCAGGCCATGCAGTTGGGCATCAGTAATGAACAGCCTTTGCTCCTGCTGCTGCAGTGGTTGCCTGATCTGGGCTCTCGCTCTCTGCAGCTGCTGGTGTCCCAGTGGCTGGCGGCCGTGTGTCGAGGAACTCTGTCCTGCCGCACTGTAGCCGTTGAGGTGGGCTTAGTAGGCGCTTTGCTGGAGGTGCTATCCGAAGCCCCGGAGAGGCTCGACCGGCAGTGTGCAGATGCCCTCTTGGGCTTGCTTCAAGACTTGGGATCTCTTTCTCTACGGCCCTGTGAACTGAAGAGTCTGCTGAAGCTCTTGCGGGCCGAGCCTGGTGCACCCCCTCACCCGTACTGCGGGCGCGTGGTAAGGGTGCTTTCTGCCATGGCCGCTCGCGGAGAGGGTGGATGCAGCGCCTTGCAGTATTTTGACCTTACGCCCCCTATGGCAGGTATTATGGTGCCAGCTATACAACGCTGGCCAGGAAACGCGTTTGCTTTCCACGCTTGGCTGTGCCTCAACACAGACTTTCCTCCTCCCCAGCACCACTACTCAGAATCTCACCTGACAAACACGGATAATATGGTTCGAATGGCTAAGGGACCACGTAGGAAACAGCTTTACAGGTATTCTCATGATAGATGGGTGTTATAATATATAAAAATGTCATCATCTACTGTATCATTTCTTGTAATTGTTTTAACCGTTTTGATATATATTTACATTCTTAAGTGATCCTTGAGAAATCATTGTAATATGCTATTCGGTGCTCAGGAAACATTTCTTTTTATTATCATGCTTGAACTATTTAAGTATTAATTATATTAAATTATATTTTTAAATCAATAGTTTTAAATGCGATAGGTGATTTGAGGCATAACATCATTATTGTGTATGTATTATGTAAATGTTTGTGTAAATATGCATATTGTGCATCTGCAGTATTTGATCATTTCCATTTACAAAGGAATTGTTCACCAAAAAAATTTAAATTTTGTCGTCCTTTACTCACACTCATGCCATTCCAAACCTGTATAAGTTTCTTTTTTGTTCACAAAAGAAGATATTTTGAAGAATTTTGAAAAACATGTTGGTCCCTATTGACTTCCATAGTAAGGAAAGAAATACTGTGGAAGTCAATGGGGACCATCAACTGTTTGATTACCAGCGTTCTTCAAAATATCTTCTTTTATGTTCATCATAAGAAAGAAACTCATACAGGTTTGGAACAGCATGTAAATGATGACAAAACAATTTTACTACTGATGTTTAATTCAGAGATGACATTAAAATATGTCTTAGAACTCATGACTTCCGTTAAACATAGAAGCATTGCAAAACGCTGATTAAAATCATAGCTATATTTACAATTGTCGATTAATTTTATATTGTAAACAAAATAATATAAAAAATAAAATAATAAATCATGAGTAAGGGGTGAATATTCAGTAAATTGCCCAGGCCTACTTGTTACAAAATGCTTGTACATATTGTATACCTGCATGAGTCTAGTACACTTGGGGCCAGATTTACTAACAGCTAAGTGCAAACTGTCTTTTGCCGTTAAAATAGTACTGTGTCAGGATTTACTAAAGACGTGCAGTGAAGAATTAGTGCTGAAAAGGCTTGGACAAAGTTATTTTTGTGCCTGACCTTATTGAATATGCATTTTCCCTTTCAGAATTTATGGGAGGAGAGTATTAAAATTAATCACGCAATGTGATTTACTAACGTTTGCGCTCGTCAAATTACTGGTATTTGCGCCATTATTTAACGCCCATTTGTTTTGTGTGTACTTATACCTTTAAAAGCTGTATTGTGTCCTGTGTGTAGTTTCTTCACAGTGAGCGGAACTGGCTTTGAAGCTTTTTTCACCACAGAAGAAGTTCTGGTGGTGGCAGTATGTACTAAAAAGGAATACATGGCCGTTTCCCTGCCAGAACACCCATTCAATGATTGCGCCTGGGTTAGTGACCTTACAGACAACTCACACACACATTAACATAGACAATTTAAGGAAAAGAAGACAGAACACTTGTATGAAAATAAATATTAGAAAGATATTGCTCAAAATGGCAGTGGTTGGAAAGAACCCCCTTTCTGTTTACAAAAAGTCAGTCAGCTTTTTAATAGAAGCATCACGTGTATTTTTGTTTTACAGCAGAATTAGCTTTAGCTTGACTAGCCTCTTTAGCTTGATTTCAGCTAAAGAATCTTACTTTATGATATCCAAAGTTGGATAAAGTTACTTTTAAAAGTAATGCGTTACAATGTTGCGTTACTCCGTTAAAATGTACTTAGTTACTTAGTTACTTTTTATGGAAAGTAATGCATTACGTTACTTTTGTGTTACTCTGTCTTACCTTGGCTGGGCTTGCTTATTTGTTTTTTAATAACAAAAAAAGTTATATTTTCGTTATTCCGTTACTTATTTGAAAAAGTATCTATTTTGTTGTAAATTTAAAAGTAATGCTTTACATTACTAGTACTTGAAAAAAGTAATCTGATTACATTCATGATATCATTGTAAGTTTTTGTTTCTGTATTCAAAGTCTTATTCTTACCCTTCTTTTCTTCACTCTAGCACTCAGTAGCCATTGTTCACGTTCCTGGCCGTCGGCCCTTTGGACAGAATGTGGTCACTGTTTATGTGGATGGAGTGCAGTGTAAAACAGCACCCCTGCGCTTTCCTTCTCTGAATGAGGTAAGTAAATGTTATTGTCTGCAGGAGTTTGATTTATTATGAACATGTTTTGTTTTATTGGTCTGTTTAACTCTCAACATTTCAGCCTTTCACTTCCTGCTGCATTGGAACAGCTGGTCAACGGACCTCTACCACCATGACTACCTCTCCGACCCTGCCCAACCCGTCCCACTCGCCCTCCGAGATGGCATTTGCAGCACATGCTGGGCCACCCACCCTTGCACGTTCCCAGTCCTTCCCTGCATCCTTTGCAGCAGCCGCAGGGGGGCGGCCAGGTGTGAGTCGGGACAGTCCAGTTCACACCATCCCGGCAGGGCTACAGGACACTGCGTGGGGCTCTCCTTCATCACTGGGTGGCCTTTTAGCCACGGTGTTCATCTGCCATGAAGCTCTGCAGCCTGCTCAGGCACGAGCCCTGTTCACTGCAGGTATAAATGAGACATCCACCGCATTCATAATGCAGAAATTCACATTTCCATCCAAAAAGAAACAAGCATTAAAGAATGTCTATCTCTGTTTCAATTGGCAGGTCCCAATAATGTTTCTCTATTCAAAGCTGATGGTGAACCTTCAGAAGTCAACAGTAAACTAGTGTTATATTACACCCCACAGGTAATTATCTTCTCAGTGATCCATCTGATACATACACACACACACAGGCGCATTACAGCGGGAGTCGGCGTCTCTCTCTTGCCTCCCCTGAGCCCATTGACTTTTAACAGACCCCCTAAATCATGCGGTGGGTTTGGTGTGGGGTAATTGAGAATGAATGGGGGAAAGTCACATGAGAGGAGGCAATGCCTTCATCGGTATGTGATTGGATATGACTGGTTTTGATCGGCTGTGATTGGTTCATGCGATAAATTCCACCTCTTGTGCATTCTGCGTTCGCGAATTAGTTTGAATAAACAATATAATGGCATTAATGGGAAGACTAATTCAAAAAAGTAAATAAACAACTTACACACTTAGATATAACTACTTTAAGTCAAAATAAGACTTAAAATGGCATGAAAACATGATCTGTAGGAGTTTTTAGTGAGTGATCAGCTTGGTGAAATTTAAAGTAAATCTCCATGTCTGTGACCAGTAATTACCGAACTTTGATGACTGATGATCTGAAAAATTCAAAAATAATTAGAAGTTAACTATTAAAAAGAATAGCTGAACATAAGTTCACAAATAAAATATATTGTTTAAACTGCAACTGCCTTGAGTTATTTTGGAATAAATGTAAAACACTAACTTGATGAGATTCATACTTGGCTTTAATAAATAGAATATTAATTACATTGATTGATTACATTGTTAATGTAAATTGTAGAAGTGGGACATGAATTTACTTTTGATAACTTTACGTTAGCTGTCTTTAATGTGTTTGCATCAAAAACTATTTTAAAATATTTATTTTGTTTTTCTTTACCTGTTACTGGGATACGGTTAAAGATAAGGACAGGTTTAAAGGTGGGTTAAGGGGTCGGAATAGGGATGACAGTCTAACTACAGAAATTAATTAAAGATAAAATTACAGGAAGGTATTTTTAAATGTACAAACAATTACAATGTAAAAACTTGTATGTAGACAATAAGTGCATTGTATCAAATGGTTAATTTAAAGATAAGTCTTGTGCACATTGTCCACATTCTTTTGTCTTGTAGGCCTTTAAGATCCAGATCTGTTTGGATTTGTCCCCCAACCATCTTTACGATGGCAGGCTGACTGGTCACAGAGTGGTGAACTGGGACGTCAAGGTGTGTATCTGTCACTGAGCTTCATTGTCTTTTAAGCTCAGTATGATTCATAGACTTGTTCTGACATCAGTACAGCCTTTTGTGTTTGCCAGTGTTGGGAAATGTGTGTTCAACACATACTTCTAGAACAAAACTAATAATCTGCAGGAGCAGTAACTGCTAATTATGTTTTATTATCTTGTCTTGCGTGTAGGATGTTCTGAGCTCAGTTGGTGGCATGGGAGCTCTCCTGCCCCTGCTGGAGCAGGTGTGTTTACTGGATCAGGGCGAGACTGTAGGTCAGGAGACTTCAGATCTTCTCGGGCCAGAGCTCACATCCTCCAGGGGCCCTGCCGGCATGCTGCTGCCACTGGGGAAGTCATCTGGTCAGTACTCTCTCAGTTGTGACACATTGGTAGCAACATGTCTGATTCCAATCCCTCTCTCTCTTCCCATCATCCATGTCCATATATGCATCAAATAAAAAGCATTAGCTTAAAAGTATAAACAGATTCTGCTGTAGTTTCTGTGAATTGAATGTACAAATCTCACAAAAATTTCACTTCAAAACCAATTTGTATGGACATTAAAGTCATGATAAAAAAGGAGTGGCGACAGATCTTTTCTTCTGTATCGTGACATACCATAATATAGGCTGGGGACTTGGTTGTAACCATCTGTTGGTGCCTGGATTTTGAGATTTCAGAGTTACACTCGAAAATCTATCAGTTGATTGTGGAGGGGCAGGTTTAATGGGCCGAATGATTGGGGTCCTGCATACATTACCAAAAGGAAGTCTGAAGTTACATCACCAAAAGGAAGTAAAAAAACAAAAAAGTTAAAAATGAAACGCATGCATAACATTACATAGCAGTTGTCAAATATTAAATGTTCTGCTACTTCCGTTTTCTGTGAAGTGAACCATAAACCCTGTCTAATTTGACTGGCCATATACTGTATATATCGCACACACACACACACACACACACACACACACACACACACACTGGTGAATAGAGAGGGCGTCTGGACGTCTAACAGGACACCTTGGTGTATGTAACTTCAAGGCGTAGCATCCTGTTAGGAAACACTTGTGTTAACAGTCCCATGATATTGCACAATACACACACAACCACAGTTTCTCATGCTTTAAGGTTTTATCTGGTGCCAGGAATCTTTAAAGAAATTAATAAGCGAGTGTCTGACGTAAACTCATTCAAGAGTCAAATCAAGAGTTCACACGTTTATCACAACAGCATGTTCCAACATCTGTGACATTTAACACGTAATCAATATGAAAGTTTCAAATAGAGGCTGCATAGTTGTCATTACATTGGCGATTAGATCAGATACTAGGCATGTGATATTAAGCAGATAATTTGATGAGACGTTGATAAGTAAAAATGATATCTATGGCTGTCTCTGTTACAGCAGCTGAAGTTCATAGAAACAGATGCTGATATATTTCTGATCTGTTGTAAGATCATTAGGCTCAGCAGTGGCTTTTATTGTTACACAAAATTAAAAGTCATATCTGATTTGCTTTTGATAATGTACTGTGACTTGACAGTCTTGTAAAGTCCTTTGAAGAGAGTTTCTCGGGTTTGAGAGTTGAAAAGTACACACACACTCGTAGTTACATAAGTATACCATCCTCAGGCTTAAAACATGGGCTGTCAATTAAATGCATTAATGTAGAACAAGTATCAAATTTAATTAAATTAAAATACATACTAGTTTACCATTATATTTATAAAAATAGTTTTTATTCATATTTATAAGAATGTTTATTAATATTTACACTATCGTTTAAAAGTTTGGGGTCTGTAAGATTTTTCTCTTATGCTCATAAAGCTGCATTTATTTGATTAAAAATACAGCAAAAGTCATATTGTAAAGTATTATTACAATGTAAAGTAGGGCTGTCGCGATTCGTCGATTTTATTCGACTATTCGATTTTTAAAAATTCTCGACTTCATTTTGCTCGCGTCGACTAACTGGCAAAATACCGGAAGTGCGTCACACAGCGGCTCCGTTCACAGAAGTTCCACAGGAACTGTTATCATTTACATGTGTGGAGCGTCTCAAACTCCATCTCTG